CCCGGAAAAGAACGTGGATTATTATTCATTGAATGTATTGCATATCTAGTTGCATCCTTCTCCTGCTTGTGAGTTTCCTCGTAGGAAGTGGAGGTCTTCCTTGTGCCAGATTCCTTGATCTTGACCCAGTATTCCAGCTCGTTGTCGTAGGAGTTTCGTCTGGTAGCAACAAGGGAACAATCTCAAAAGCGTGGCCGAAACCTGGAATCTAGACCCCGTCCTGCCTGATGTGGGTCGCGGCCTTGCACTCGCAATCACGAACAGCACCATTGATTTTGGTCCTGGGATGGCAGACACCGAGGTGATCTTTATAGGGTTTAAGCTTTAAAGGCTGGGGGTGTGGGTATATAAGGTTGGCAAAATTTGGGCTTTCAGATTTTGTTGAAGTGCTGGGTTTGCAAGCATCGAATCTCACATGCATCGATTTCTCAGATCAAAACAACCCTGGCAGCTCCATCTAGTTCCTATATTCGTGTAGTCATGAATAAAGATTCAGGTAGGGGTCTCGGACCAACCAAGGTCGTCGACCATCTCCTGCTTGCTATACCAGGCTTCCTCGATGATGAGGTCCACGGAGTTCTTGCGGGTAACCACAATGTGCATGCGGGCTAGGAACTTCTCCTGGGCGTTTTCAGAATTCAGCTTCAGCTGTGTAAGGGTTTGGGTTTCCCGACAAGATTGATTATAGAGTGCAGGCGAAACACTTTATCAAAGTTTTCTTCCTGCAACACTCTGGCAATGCCAGTCTTGTTGCCTCCGGCCCATTCCTTCACCAGCCAAGCCGGAGCTTCGAGATCTTTGCGTCTCGATTTTGCCTTGCACATTCGGTCGATTCTGGCCTTTGCTGCCCGCAAGAGCTTCTCCTGAAAGTATGTATAGAGAGAGTGAGAGAGAGACAGAGAGAGCGAGAAAAGAAGCCACGAAATATCGTATGTGCTTTTGTTTCTTTGTCTGGCAAGCAAAGCCCAGCCTGCCGGGTGTAGTGTCTCTTCGGCTTGCCTTGCTCTGCAGAGCACATGTCACCATCATCGGCGGGCAAAGAACCAGTCATCATCTCTGCAAAGAACTGGAATAGCTCGGCTTGGGAAACCTTGGCTAGTGGCCCGATAGATTTTGAAGCAGACTTT